GGGGAACGGGCACAAGCCAGGCGCGACCAGACACGAGTTTGCGTGTGGAGAGTTGACGAGGAAACTGAACCCAAAGAATGTCTCCACAAGTCATGGAACTATAAATACAAAAACTCCTCAAAGCCATAAAGATTCCCATCTATCATCTTTGGCTTCAATCTTCTTCTTCCCGTAACCATCAAACCAAGCATACAATTTCTCTTTCTTGTGAAAAAAAAAAATGTGTGCATTGACACCAATGTTTCCGACAAGGCTTGGATGGGCTCCAATGGAGTATCCATTGATGTCCAAAGCAGAATCTTTCCTCGGTCCTTTAAATTCTGTTGCTGAAACCGATCAGAATAACTGTAAGGATGCGGCAATGAAGAAGCTTAGCCACAATGCGAGTGAACGTGACCGCCGCAAGAAACTCAACTCCTTGTATTCTTCTCTCCGGTCTCTCTTGCCTCGTTCCGACCACACGGTATCATCATACGCTTTTCTCCTACTATTTTACAGCTTTAAGGGCTCGGATTTTCGACCTATTATGGCATCCAGATCTCCATCTCTCGCTCTATATATGTTCTTGTAATAAATCACGACAACACTTCTACGCCGACCAGACATATTTTTATTTTGATAACTAGGAGATTCACAGGGTCTTCGACCCACTTAATCTACTTAATCTCTCAGGATTCAGAGTCAACCTTTAATCACGCAATTAATTGCGTCTCCTCCTTCCATCAGTAGAATCAGACATACTTAACCTCACATATACATTGAAATCTTGAATGTGTTTTGTTTGTTGATTAGCAGAAGAAGCTGAGCATTCCGGGGACAGTATCGTATGTTCTAAAGTACATACCTGAGCTCAGACAAGAAGTCGAACGGATGTGCAGGAAGAAGGAACAACTCTTGAAGAGAATCTCAAGACAAGGGCCTGTCTCCTCAGCTCATGAACATGAACAACACATGCAGAGGCCGACGAACAAAGATCTCTCTCCGATGATTCTGACATCTCGGCTCACTGACACGGAATTCGCTGTCCAGATTGCGAATCTGAACAAATCTCAGATTTCAGATACATTGCTTGGTCTAGAAGAAAGCTCCATGGAAGTGATAAGTGTATCTTCTTCGGTTTATTCAAACACACGAGTGATGCACACTTTGCATCTGCAGGTACTTGTCCTAACGAGTCTTGTCTTAAACCGATGGTTAGGGCAAAGGAATTAATATCGATTCCATGCGGGTTTTTTGTTTGGCAGATGGATGGAGATTGCGTGGTGAAGGCTGAAGAACTGAGTGATGTGATCTTGGCATTGCAGGAGAAGCAATATCAATGGCGTCAGTAGCCAAGTCAGCCATGAATATGCAGAGGAATTTGGGGACTCTCTATGCATGGTGGTGAAAAACACGTGCGCAATAGATCTGACCAAATTATTTTTATTTTTATTTTTATTTTTGTCAAACTATCAGCCTAAGGACACAAACCCCCAAACTCCCTTCTGTCATCTAATTTTACCCTACAATTGTGAATTTATGGTATTGCAGGAGAAGCAACATCAATCACTTCCTTAGTTCTGTCTCTTCAAGTTAAGGTTTCGCATTCATAAACGCAGTGGTTCTTCTTCCCTGCTGTATCAGCACGGACCAAGAGTTCGATTTTTCCTGAGCTATTTTCAAACGGGAAAGCACAAAGATATATATAGAATTACAATACCAGTTGAAAACATATGTTTTATCATCTGATTGTGTGAAGAAAGCCGAGTCACTGTACAGTTTACCGACAAGAATGGCGGTGTAGACAGAGTCCGGGGACAAGATTTTCCGCACATTTTATCTGTGGATACGAATGGAACTGTACCGATTCTTAGAATGGCCTTTGAAGGTTGCCATGGAAGGCACCCCTTCTTTATGTTTCGGGTTGTGGATGATTCTGAGATTAACGAAACCATATGCTTGAATGATGATGCCTATGTTGATGACGATGGTCACTAAGCCGACTGCAAAATCACCTCACCGGTTTCTGTTCTTACATACTGAGCAGAAGCTTCAGGAGTGTCTTCCTCACTTGGTGGAACCAGTTGCCAGAACAAAGGTAGATACTTGTCCCACTCCTTCAGAATCGCTGCCCCTTTGCCACTTCCCGTTTTTTCCTTCACCAGAACAAAACCACGACGTTGAGTTTCATCGCATTGATAACAGCAAATATAAAGATGATCTGAGAACAGATAAGTTAAGAACAGAAAAATCTCGTTTGGTAATGTAAACTTACGACGTGGGCTTCAATTAGGCTCTTCAACTGTATCTGACCTGCAGGTGCAGTAACTCTCTGTACCTTCACAATCTCCCGGTTCATCTATTACAGAGTTTCCCAAACAATGTTGTATAAAGCATGTGAAAAATTCAAAGAGAAGTATGAAAGATACATAACAAACTAAAAGACTGAATGACGGAAAAAAAAAAACAAAAAGACGAGAAAACCTTGGGAAGAAGCGTGTCATCGTCATCAAGAATGTATGCTAAACCGCCCGTCATCCCGGCTGCAACGTTTCTTCCCACTCTGTCACAAATTGAAACACCAAAGTAAGTTCCTTCAGATATGTCGGAACATTCTAAGGCCTTCAGACACTGAAACTAGTGTTTTTTCAGCTGTCTTGTTCCAAGGAAGAATGAAACTTCAGACACTGTGTGGTAAACAGTTTACTCACTTTCCTAGCACGACGACGCACCCACCAGTCATGTACTCGCAACAGTGGTCACCGGTGCCTTCAACTACAGCCTCAGAGAGAGAGTTCCTCACGGCGAATCTCTCGCCGGCTTTTCCTCTGACAAATATTTGACCGCCTGTTGCACCGTATAAGCAAGTATTTCCAACTATCGTTGCATCCTCGGGGCAGAACCCTATCGTCTCTACTGGGGTTACTACCACTTCACCACCCGCCATACCCTTTCAATGATTCACCATTTCGTCAGTCACATAAACATATCTCAAAGTTAAAAAGTACATTCTTATAAACTTAAATGGTTCATTCACTATACAAGAATGATGGATTTATTTTCCTACGGTAGTAGATACAATGCATCAAATTATGAGGAAAAAAAACTATACTCCCAATGCATCAAATGAGTTGAATCAGTGGACATACACTTGCATTATGGTCATGCATCAAAGATTTTCAAAAGAGAATGTATAAATCTCAAAGACAAGCACCAATCTTAACAGAGGCAGATACTCTTTTGGTAGTTTCTGTTTCTATCTGTTATGATGTGTCCATGGATGCAACATACCTTTCCTACATAATCATTAGCCTCTCCGACAAGCCGGACGTTCATGCCTGGAGTCAAAAAGCATGCAAATGATTGTCCTGCACTCCCGAGGAAACTGCAAAGAACAAAAAAAAACTTGTTTTTAACTTATTCCTGGATTGAAATATACGGGTACACAGAGTTATAAGAGCAAAAACACAAATATTTCTCACGTTAGGTTCAATTGTCCAGCAAAACCGGTGTCTCCATACTTCTTAGCAATAACCCCAGCAATGCGTCCACAAACAGCACGGTCTATGTTGCATATCTTGATGGTTTTATCAATTACTTTCTCATTTTCTATCGCATCTATAACCTGCAAGACTTGAAACAGTCAGCCAACCAAACACTGTATTCCAGATGAAGATGAAACTAAAAAATTTACTGGTGGAGGAACTCAAATGGTGAGTTTCCGTTACCTCTGGATCTTCGAGGATAATGTCATCCAGAACAGGGCCATTTGTATGAACAACCTGCTTTCTGATTGCAGTACTACTCCATTGAGGTAGTCCGACAAACTGAAAGTGCAAAAGAAAATCGGAGCAATGACTACATATATTCAGCATAAGAGAAATACAGAGTGGAAATAATAATGTTGTTTCGGGATATACCGAAAGAATATAATTCAGATCGAGATGCTGAGTTTTCACTAGAGAAATATCTCGTAGTTTTAGAAGATCTGTGCGTCCAATGATATCATCCAACTTCGAATATCCCAGCTGGGCCAATACACCCCTCACCTGCCAAAGATACAAAGCAAAAAGACATGAGAAACAGCGAGATGTGCTGTCTTAAATGACATTAGTAAGAAAATTCTCTAAAGATCAAAGAGATCGGAAATGTCCACCTCCTCTGCTACGTATAAGAAGAAATTGACAAGATCACCAGGCACACCAGGGAATCGTGCACGCAATTCTTCTCTCTGGGACAAGAGTGGCACAAGCCTTAGAGAACACAAAGACAGAACAGACAAAAGATGCCAAAAAATTACAAGAGATCGTAAACATACCTGGCTTGCCACACCCACAGGGCAATTATTGGTGTGGCAAATACGAGCCATAACACATCCAGTAGCAATCATTGCCAAGGAACCAAAGCCATATTCATCAGCACCCATCGCTGCAGCCATTAGAACATCAACGCCACTCTTTAAGCCTCCATCAACTCTTAATATGACCCTTTCTCTGAGTCCATTTTCAATAAGAGTCTGCAAGAGAAAATGGAGCAATTAAAAGGAAGAACCTTTTTTAGAGAATCAGAAGACAAAGGTACACATTGGATCACTCGGGAGTCAAAATTTTACTTGGTGAGTTTCTGTTAGTCCAAGTTCCCATGGCCCTCCAGCATGCTTAATGGAGCTGATTGGACTCGCTCCAGTTCCACCATCGTGCCCAGATATCTGAGAAAAAAAATCGAAAGGTCATTACAATGAATCCTCATAAAGGAAATATAAGAAAGAAGTACAAGAACTCAGCAGCCAACAAAAGGCAGCTGCTTTGCATGTTTACTAAATATATGAAGAAAACCCATAGTAGAGGAATGTGGCATATAGACTTCTCACTGAAAATGTCATGCAACGTAACATGCAGAAAAAATGTCTTTGCATGTTTCTGTAGCAGTATGCTACATGATCATGCACAATTGCACAAAATGGTAGTTCAATAGTTTTGTGGACAAATGCAAAATATATTTCCACTTGTGTCAAGTGAAACAAGATAATTACCTGGATTATATCAGCATTACCCTTCGCAACTCCTGACGCAACAGTTCCAATTCCAGCTTCTGCCACAAGCTTTACCGATACTTTCGCATTTGGATTGATCTGTTTGTCCAATTGAATACATTATACGTAGTCATTTTGTTTACGGACTCTTATCAATTTTTGGAACAAATTGATTACCTGATGTAGGTCAAAGATCAACTGTGCAAGGTCCTCTATAGAATAAATATCGTGATGCGGTGGTGGAGATATAAGCGGAACACCTGGTTTAGAGTTTCTTAACCTAGCGATATAAGCACTGACTTTCTGCCCAGGAAGTTGGCCACCCTCACCAGGCTTTGCTCCTTGTGCAATCTTAATTTCCAATTGGTCGGCATTGACCAGAAAAGTCGGCGTGACTCCAAAACGCCCTGAAGCGACCTGAAAGTAACATATAGCATTTCATGAAGCTTTTCTACGTGAACCTGCTTGATAATAAAGAGCACATTCCAAAAAAGTTGCTTCCAAAGAAGGGTATGGCTCTACAGTAAAACAGAGAGAGGTGGTGATGCAAAAATTATCACCTGCTTGATAGCACTTGTAGCAGTATCCCCATTCTGAAGGCCTTTGAGATGCGGTAATGTTGGAGAGTATCCATCTACCACATCAGTAAGTGGCTTCCAACGAATAGGATCCTATCAAGAGCAAAAGTCCAAAGAACATTTAGTTCTGATTTTTCTTGTTCTATACATGTCAGTACACTGAAAGGATATTTGTATACTGGCATATATCAATGAAGGATAAATGGGAACTACCTCTCCACCTTCTCCAGAATTAGACCTCCCACCAATTCTATTCATTGCAATAGCAATTGCTTCATGGGTTTCTCTTGAAATAGCACCAAGTGACATACCACCCGTACAAAATCTCTCAACAATAGATGAGGCAGGCTCGACCTTCCCCACGGAAATTGGTGCACGATCACTCTTGAACTCGAGAAGATCACGAAGGACCTAGTTCCCAAGAGTGAAGAAATAAGTTCACTTCAAGAACGTGAATATCAGAAAAGCTTGAGAAAAAGAATTTGAATACTCACATTAATAGGGCGGTTAGCTAAATGCTGTTGGTACACTGCATATGCAGTCTCACTTTTCTCACGCACAGCCTTGTGGAGTAATTTTGACATCTCTGGGTTGTTTGAATGATACTCACCTGAAAGAACAAGGAAATTATTACGTAAGGAATGGAAAAGGTATATATTTTATGTTAAACCAAGGCAAAACCAGAACAATACAATATATAAATAAACGTGGAAATCTAATTCGTATGATATTGTACTTCATAACCAGATTTTGTAAAATGTTGAAATTAATGCTATGGAGGTTATTGTACTAGAATGTGATACAAGAATACACGTGAGCATATCAAGTTGTGCATATGTTGATTAGAATATGTGCATGGAAATAGATACACATGCAGAAACATGAATGAGCCAACAAAAGTTCAGGGGGAGCTAATTCTAAAAATAAAACTTCACCTCCAGGCCTAAACTGAATAAACCCGAAGTTCTCTAACCGCTTAGCTGTATCTTCAGAGAATGCCTTCACCCAGAAAGACAATGACTCCCTCGCCAACTGAAGAAGACAGGATCTTTTTCAGAAGATCTTAAACATGTCTGAATATGAGGAATACAAAGGACTTTTGGCTGAATGTATTTCTCACCTCATCAAAGGTCAGTCCACCGATTTTAGACATACTTCCAGTAAATGCAAGATCAACAACCTCCTTCCCTAAACCGTATATCTCAAATATCTGAGCACCGCAGTAACTAAACAAACAAAATGTTAAGTCAGTATTTCTACGTAACATGAAAAAGACTTGGAAATATGTCGGGGAAAGCCCATAAAGAAGATATGGAACCTTGAAAGTAATGAAATGCCCATCTTAGACAAGATTTTGAGAAGACCCGCGTTAACTGCCTGCAAGATAAGCAAGTAATATGGAATTCAGGAAACTTCCATATTGTGTATTTTTAAGAAGAGTTTGTAACAAACTCAAGCTATTGGGATGAATGATAATCTGATAAGTTGTTTTCGTGGAAAACAATTTTAAAAACGAAAAAGAAATTCAAGGATGAAGCGCAACAAAAGGAGAGTCAGAAAGATCTGACCTTGCAATAATTCTTCTGAGCTTGTTCAATGGTTACAGTGGGCATTTTCCCGTTCCGCATCATGTTCACAGTCTTGTTGCTTAAGCGCCATTGTCTACATGTCTCCAGAGCCAGGTATGGGCATATAGCACTGTGGAATAATTTCAGGGAGGAAGTTATTGCAAGAAGGTAACAGGTATAATATATTTAGTGACAATGGTCAGATTCAGTCAACTAAATCTGGCTGCAGGTCTTCAGTTTAGAGTTGTCTTGGACTATCACTTGGCGAGGAAAGAGAGAATACTGGAAAGAGATAGAAACTTTTCCTTTTAAGAGTTGCAAAACAAAATTCAAGCATTGAACGTAGACAGACACACTAGTAGATAGTAATGTAAGAGCTTGGGTGACACCTGTCTTCTTACACAAATGAGAGAGAGAGAAAGAGAGAGAGAGAGAGAGAGAGAGAGAGAGAAGAGAGAGAGCAACCTTGCACCATATCCAATCAAACAAGCAAACTGATGTGTGCTGAAGCACTGAGCAGTGTCTGCAACTATGGAAGCTGACATCCGCAAGCCATTCTGAATAAGATGTTGATGAACAGCGCCAACAGCTAACAATATTGGGATAGCCGGTCGGGTAGGTTCCTGAAAGCAACCAAATTACATGTACTGTGAGATGTTTGTAGAAGACTAATATTAACATATAATGGAGACAGTTTATTGTTCATCATCACGTTAGACCGTTGTAAACAAATACCTAACTATAAGGTGGACCAACTTTCCTCATACCGTTAAAAAATTGAAAACCATGCATAAGCCATAAAAAACTACAATGGTTTCCACATGTCTCTCCATAAGCTGTAGAGGAAAACACATGGGAGCATAATCCGTTTGACTTGTAACTGATAACGAAAGATATGCCATGACAAAGGTGGTCTGAGAAATTAGTACGGAATTTACCAGGCTACCAGAGCGATCTGAAAGAATAAGCAGCTGAGAGCCACTTCGAACAGCTTCATCAGCTGCTTCACAAAGATAATAGAGTGCCTTTTCCAAGGAACCTTCAATTCCTTTTCTTATATCGAAAAAGATTGACAGAATTTTGGGCTTCAAGAGTGAATCCTTCAGTAGCTCCTCAAGCAGTCCTTCATTCAGTACAGGGCTGGACAGAATAACCTAAGATCATGAAAGAAGCCATGTCATGTGTAACAAATAATGTGAAGCCAAACGAAAGAGAATAAAGGATAGCTGATAAACATGAAGGGTAAAGATAAAGAATCAAAACCTGTGAAGCGTTCTCAGGCCCAAGCTCTAATATGTTTCCACGCTTCCCGATATTAACTTCAAGAGACATAACCAAACCTTCCCTAAGGGGATCAATAGCTGGGTTTGTAACCTGACACCACAAAATGCATTTCAATAGCCAACAATTAGAAGAAACTGTACAAAGATGCTACAGCAGGAGCACGACCAGCACAAAGGTATTGTCAATGTGCTACAATACGGTTTACCCAAAAAATGGCATTTTAGACCAAAAACTGCAACACATAGGCTCCAATTACATGTGTACCTGTGCGAATCTTTGCTTGAAATAGTCATAAAGCATATGTGGCTTCTGAGACAATGCTGCCAACGGAATATCATCGCCCATGCAAAACGTTGGTTCCTTTCCTTGTGCAGCCATAGACTCAATAACCATTTGCACATCCTCACTTGAATAACCGAATGCCCTGATAGGTTTGACATGTCAGCTTATAATTTGGCATCTTTGTTATGAGCCAGAGCTTTACCCTTTGGATGAACAAAGAACCAAGTACATGTCTAATAAAATGGCAACTTGAGACAAAAGACAAAGAAGTCAGAAGATTTACTGTTGGTGTCTTAGGATTTCTTCAGTTTCCATGATTGTTGAGGAATTGAATTTCGCAGGACTCAAGGACCGGAGGTTTTCTTGAATCCACTTTCCATATGGATTCAGTGAGGAGATTCGCTTTTTGACCTCTGTATTTTCAAATACCTGCAATTGGAAAATTCATCAAAAAATCATGAGTGAAGCGGAGCATTATATGACCAAGCACCATAAAATTTTGTATGTGCAAGTAGCTGCCAAGATTTAAGCTTCCACTTTCCTGACCTGACCATTAATTAGATCAACGGCAATCATCATCCCAGGTCCTAGACGGCCTTTCATGGTGACTTTTGACTCATCCACGGGTACAACACCAACCTAAAAAAGATAAAAGAAAATAAATATTTCAAGCACAAGAACAAGATGGAGAGAAAAAAACATATAATTTTAAGAATAACCATGTGGGATGCACTAAATTTTGACCAACTTCTCTTTCCACAGCCCAAAAGATGAACAGTGCAATAGATTTACTGAAGGAGCTACCTACTGTAGGCCAAATGACAATTGTTTCATGTTGATCAGCTATACGTGACCAACTAAACTGCATGTTAACTACTAATTGCTCTGTTGACTATGAAATGGCTTCTGTTAATGTAAAAAATTATCACAAAAAAAGAAGTAATTCTTATAGCACGGGAATTTGGACCTATATTGATCAAACAAAAAGGTAGTTGATATACCTCAGATGCAACATAGACGACATTGTCACTTGTCCGCCAATATCTAGCAGGGCGAAGCCCATTTCGGTCAAGACAAGCCCCAACTGTTTTTCCATCACTGAGTGATGAATTCAAGTAGCAAATGTCAGTTAAACCTGAGGAGGAAGCCTAATAAAGCAGAGATATGGCGAGGAAATAAAATCCTGAGCTCAAACACAACAAGCAAACAGCAAGACTGCAGTGATTTGACCCTAGGATGATAAGAAAATTCCTCAACTTAAATCCTAACAAGAAACAACTTGATTAAGGCATATTTTAAAAGCTGATCTCAAAAACAATACAAAGCCAATCTCCTAAAAGGTTTACCTGAACAAAAGTAATGCTGGTCCATCCCAAGCTTCCATCTGTCCTTTGTAATAGTCATAGAAATCTACAACCTACGGTAAAAATGGCAATCAAAGAGACACACAAGATTGCAACCAGTACAAAGACAGGTTTGGACTTCTGCTAGATGTGGAAATCTGATAGTTTTTGGGAGAACAAACCAGAAACATAATGTTAGATGCAATATGACGTTTAATATCCAGATAGATACCTCGGGATATTTGATCGATAACGTCGGGTGATTTTTGTATGCCTCAGGGACAAGAATCATCAGAGCTTCTTCTGCTGTCCTGCCACTTCTTATTAAAATCTGCAAGATATCCAAATTAACCGAGGGCAAATACAGAATACAGATTACCTAAATATTTGTTCAGTAAAACATCAATCATATTATTGATACTAGTGGTATCAATTTGAGAAGAAAAAAAGAATGAATGTGAATCTATATCACAAAGCAGCCACAAAAGTATCCACCAATAATATATATATTTGTCTAATATCACTTACTTCTGCAGCACTGTCCAGGTTTGCCGAGTCTGATGCCTTGGGGTTACCAAATGGACGAATTTCATTTTCTCGACCTCGCCAAACAGGAGACTTCAAAGAGGCTTCACGAGATTGCATCCAATTCAAATTTCCCTGCACAAATGTACCGAAAACAGAATGAGACCTCCTTAAACTTAGGAAGTTGTGATTTAGTATAACAATCAACCATAACAAAACCCAAAATAATTATTACCTGTACGGTGTTGATCTCTCCATTATGTCCAAGAAACCTCATTGGTTGAGCAAGAGGCCACCTGGGACTAGTGTTTGTGCTGTACCTTCGATGATAAATAGCAAAGGGAGATTTATAGAGCTCGTTTTGGAGGTCAAGATAAAACAACCCAAGAACTTCTGAGCGAAGCATTCCCTTGTAGACTATGGTTTGATTGGACAGGGAACAGAAGTAGAGCTCATTTCCCCAACTCTCTGATGCCACCGCTCGTTCAATTAACTTGCGGCAAATGTAAAGTTCCCGTTCAATGTCATCCGTGCTATCTTCCTTCACAATTCTAACAAACACTTGCTGCATGTTGGGCATTGTTTCTTTAGCATTTTTACCAACTATGGAGACATTTATAGGAACTGTCCTCCATCCGAGCACCTGTAGTCCCTCTTTCTCAAATGTCTTTTCAACAACTACAAAAAGCATTAAAACATTTCGGTAAAACAGTGAGGCACAAAAAGAGAAAGATAAAACTAAGCATGAACCATGCCTAATAGATGAAATATTGATGTTAAAGAAGAACAATCATTAGTATAAAATATATGCACATGTACAAGACGAATATCCACGAGTTTTCCAAAGTAATAAAACCAATTCTATCCTCTATATAGATAGACCACATGTAGAAGATCCACAGTAAAAGTTTAACATGTTTCCCGTATTAATTCTCTTTGTTGCACGATTCAAATGATTTGCTTAGCTGATTTGCAAAAGGACAAGATCAGATACATGGAGGGAAAGGAGAAAAAGAGTGACCTTGCTTGGCTTCTTGCATGAAAGTCTCATCCTGTGGAAGAAAAACCATTCCAACACCGGTGTGTAACTTATCGAACGGGGCAAGACCTTGTTCCTTAGCCCAGACCTCAAACAAGTCCCATGGAATGGAAGACATGAGCCCCGACCCATCACCAGAATCATTGTCTGCTCCACAGCCTCCACGGTGTTCCATGCAACCAAGAGCAATAAGAGCATCCTTAACAACGCCATGTGAGCCTATGTTGTCTAAGTTTGCAATGAAGCCAACTCCGCAAGCGCCTCTCTCAGACAAGATGTCCTCCAAATGAGCAACCTGTTCAGACAACAACAACAACAACATAAACTCCCGAGTTGTAACTTACAACCAAAACAAATCGATATATGTTTCAGAGGACAAAACCTATGATCCCCAAATCTTGTATTCCAAGAAAGCATCTTTCATGGGTTTAATACAAATATACACAAAATTTGAACGACAACACAATCTACCGTACTTGAAGTCGTCAAGAACGAAAATTTGATGGATAAGAAATAGAAAATTTTGGTTTTAAAACTTAACTAAAGACAGTACAACACGTGGATGTTCGTGAAAATATCTTTTTGACGTTCCCCAAAAAGGGAAAGGGAAAGAATTTCTAATTCAAAAGAAGGCCGACCTGGGGTTTCAAGCCGGAGGAAGAAGCGGAATCTTCGGCGGGTGCGACGCCATTAACGCGTTCGAGGTCGATCACGGCTCTAACGGAGGAGGACAGCCTCCGAGCCGACAATCGGGCACGCGAAATCGAACCGCCGCCGAGTCGGCGACGAGTGCTCTTGGACTTACAGTATAATCCGACAAAATCGACGAAGAAGAAGTTCTTGTCGGAGGACAGAACAGAACTCGGAGTAGTCGAAAGCAGATTGGGAACAGAAGAGACGGATTTCATCGCCATTGAAGAAGCAACAACACCACAGAGAGAGATAGAAAGAGATAGAAAGAGAGAGAGGAGTGTGTGGAAATGAGGAAGATATCAGATGAGAGCTTACGAGAGCCACACCCGCCTCTTCTCCTCTCTTTGTCTCTCTCTCTCTCTCTGCTTCTTATTTCACAAGTCACTTTTTCTCCGGTCATAGATAAGAGGAAAAATAAGAAAGGCGTATTTTTCCGAGATTCTTTGACCCTAAGGGCATTTCCGGTATTGAATGTGAGACGCTCCTCAGTTTCCATTTTCATTTGTGCTAACGGTCAGAATTCTGCAAACAGAATCTTTGGCCCACATGTGGAACCGGTTCAGTTATGATTTGACGGTTTGGTTACTGAACCGGAATTCAATCAATTGGATCAAAGAATAAACAAATCCCCTTCAACATTCCCCTGATAATTAATTGTATCTTTTTGTAGTAGTTGGTGATTTTACCAGCAATCTCCTCATGATTTCTATTCTATTTTTTTCTCACGTTTTCTTTTCATTTTCTCAATATTTTTTATTTGATTTTAAAAACATTATGTATATTGTTTTTCAATTTTTATTCATTTTTATGAACCAAAATGTTTCATATAAAAACTATTATCCATTAAACATTTAAAGAAACTTTTAATGATTCCTATTATCCATCTATTAAAACAAATCGTTAATTATCAATTTTCTCTTAAACTTTTAGTGTTTTTTGGCACATTCATTTTCCTAATTTTAGTTTAGCGTATTTTTTATTTTCATATTTAAGATTTTTTTTTTCAGTACATATATCTTGTAATTTTTTTTTTAAGGATAATCTATTTATTTATTTATGAGGTGAGTTTGTTTGTGTGGCTGGAAAATGGACTTGCATTTGTGAGAGAGAGCGAGGCTTTTGTCCTTAAGATCGTCTTAAAGGCCACCGTTTTTTGCCCTTTCAAAGCTTAGCCCCTTCTTGGATTTGTGGGACCCACGCAAAGTTTTTTTTTATTTCATATTTTTTTCCGTTTGGGGGTTGTCTGGTGATAAGTGAGAGCGCCTATCTCCGCTGTCTTATCACATTCTTTGTTCAAAGTTCAAACCGAAATGTTTCTCGCCCGGAATCCGATTGTGTTTTTGTTTTAGATCTAATAACACGATTATATATATATATATAATTTTTTTATTAAATAAGATGATTATTGAGTATAACTGTTTGGCCCGCGAACAAATCTATTCTATATTTGGATAATTCGATCAATTAATATAAATTACTCATTGACAGTGATCAAATGAAACACTATATTACCAATAGATTTCCATGATCCCCATATCACATCGAGTCACTCCATATAATTCATCCCAACATATATATATATATATATATATATATAACACGATCGTCATCTCAGATTTTTGAATGTTCTTTTGCCAATAAATATTATATTTTAAAAAAATATGTATTAGTATAAATATTATAGATATTTTCTTATTATTTTTTAAATTAAACCATTTTTTAGTCAATGTACGATGAAGGCTATATATATATATGAATTTGTGTGTGTGAAAAAGAACAAATAACATTGTGCTACGTATGAGAATCCCCCAATTCTATTGGTTTGAGAGGGTCTTTCCTGTAAACGAGGTCGTAGGTTCAACACCTAGAATATGGAGATTCCCCTTCTGCCACCTTCGGGTGTTTCACATCTCACGTGTGTATTGTATGGTCGTGCGCGTGGATCGGGATTAGTCTAGATCTTTGGATTTGGGATCATCCGATTATTTAAAAAAAAACATTGTGCTACGTGAATTTAATTGTGCCAAGAATCTCAACAGAAATCCGTGGAAAAAATGCGGGAATCCACTATTACCACCCAACTTGTGAGATTATTCACATCCATATCTTGGAGAATCGTTTCTAAACCGGTTATGGTTTGTGTACGAAATGTAGAACTCGACCGGATCAAATAAAATTCAATTACATTTCAATAAATTCTTGTCTACAAAACTGAATTATCTATTATTTTTTACAATTGAGAATTTATTTTATAGTAGTTTTCAATTTGTTATTTGAAAATTTTTATGTCCGAATTCAAAAAATATATTTATAGAGTTTTTGTCTTTTACTATGAAATGGATTAATTTATGCAAATAATTACATTTTACCAATTTATAAAATAAATCGATATTAAAGCTTCTTTTAATTCAATTTCATGTGCTCGAATATCATAAAAAGGTCGCCCGTATTCATAACGGTAAAATAATGGCCGGTTCTAATTCGACACGACAAAATGGGCGGCAAAATTCACCTTTTGCCCTTTAATTTTAATTAATTTTTTTAAAAGCGTATTGGAGAAAGGGGTAATATTTAGGGTTTATGTTCGTGTCTGAGGGAGGGCAGAAGGAGAAAAAAATCTGAAGCAGCAGTAAAAAAAAAAACCTTTCATTTTGGTAGCGTTGTCCATGGCGCTTCTTCGAAGACCTCCTTATCGTCACCTGTATCTTCATCTCATGGCTTCTCGTCATGGTCTTCTCTCTCACTCTCGTTCTCCTTCTCTTCCCCGTCAAATCTCCTCTCTCTCCTCTGCTTCACTTCTCTGCGCAAGACCCAGGTTCTTGCTCTCATTTCTTCTCTCTTTTTTTTTTCCTTTTCTGTTTGTGGTTCTGGTGAAAACTGTTGGAGTAATAAAGAGAGGATCTTTGCATTCTTGGTGACGTATTTTGCTTCCAGGTTCTGAGAAATTCATGGGTTTTACTCGGTTTATCGATATTTGCAAGTTAATCTGTAGAAATTTTGTGTTTGGTGTCTGATGGAAATGGTGGAGTACACGGCAATCTAAATGATGCCACTCGCTTTCAGCTGCCGAGAGAGTATGTCTGCGTTTGGATATTTATGCGTTTCGATTGATTGACAAGAGCACCGATTACTTAAAAACTTTGATTTTTTCCCCATCCCGTCTTTTATCTTTCGTAAAGCCTTCATATGGAGGATGCATGCGTTCTGGTGTCCTAGACTTGATGAAATTTCCTACTTTACGGCAGAAATTCTGCTGCTTTGGCTGTTTAAAGTTACTCTCTGATTGAGTCATCCTGTGGGTTTAGGATAAATTTTCGGTTAACCAAGGTTTTGAGCTTGGGACTGGAACTAAGAAATGCAGTCTCACCAAGGTCCTTTATGTCATCAACCATCACCACTGAGGCTTTCCAGGAAACCAACACCTCTCAGGGTTACAGTTCCGAGCAAATTCAAGTAATTCTTACAATTATCCCTTTTTTTTCTTTGTTTAGTTTTGGATATTCAATTACCGGGATAGATTCATGAGAAACTGTAGTCAATATGCCATAAATAACAGGATTTGGTGCTTATATTCGCCAGGGAATATTCTTTTCTATCATGGATTCTTATGAGGTCTTGCCCGGAGTTTTGATTTTTGTATCACCAAATGTTTTATGATACCTTAGGTGCTGGAAGGCTTAGACCCTGTTAGGAAAAGGCCTGGAATGTATATTGGGAGCACTGGACCTCGTGGTTTGCACCATCTGGTAAATCGCTTTTCTTTCATGTCTCGTTGCTCTACTAGCTCCTGACAAGATATGATTCCAAATTTTCTGATGCACTTGTAGGTTTATGAGATACTTGACAATGCTATTGATGAGGCACAAGCTGGTTATGCTTCCAAGATAGACGTTGTTCTGCATCCGGATAATTCTGTGAGCATCACTGACAATGGGCGTGGGGTATGTTATCTGTTTGCTTATCAATCTGAGAGTTTACCGTTGAACATATGGGTTGGAGTTTCTGAGGCTGATATGACAATAGTAGGGTTAACGGGCCACCTGAGTCCTGATGCATTATCTAATCATGTTATTGAACTGTCGGTTCTGATATTCCTGTCTCTGCTTTTTCACATCCACCCCCATGGGTTGTGATAAAACAAAATACGTGAATACTACTCTATCCTTTTCATAAATTGGCTTTCCCCTTCTCTTTTTTCTGATAGCTTGCTTCATCATGATAGTGATAGAGGACCAGTAAAATTATTTTTGTGTTCATCTTGATGTCTTGATGGATATATCTTAGTCAAACTTCAGGAAATTTATGGCTGTTTAATTGATATATAACTGTCTTGCAGATTCCCACGGATTTGCATCCTGTGACGAGAAAATCTGCTTTGGAGACTGTCCTCACGGTATTGTCACTTGCATGATATACCTCTATTGTTTCCTCGTAATCAATAATGTATTACCTTAAAATTAGTGCTTGAAAAATCAAATTCAACACTGTTTAAATATACTGCACAGTAAAATTTTGAAGGGGAGCCTTGGTGCAACGGTTAAGGTGTTGCCGTTGTGACCTAAAGGTCATGGGTTGGAGTCCTGGAAGTAGCCTCTTGCAGAATATTCTGCAAGGTAAGGTTTGCCTACAATACACACTTATGGTGGGACCTTTCTCCGGACCCCGCTCAACGGGATGCTTTGTGTATCGGGCTGCCCTTTATTGCATAGTAAAAGTTTCATGGAAAAGATTGGGAACTCTTATTCATTTGTTTATGTATCCTGAAAATTTGTTCAAGATTGTATTTCTCTTGTATTTGTTCTATCACATATCTAAGGCATAGAATGCACCATTAGTGCATCACAGTCCTTTTCTCTTTAAACATGCAATCAATCAGTCTTGATGGATATTGTGCAGATCCTACATGCAGGTGGCAAGTTTGGTGGTTCAAGTAGTGGCTACAGTGTCTCTGGTGGATTACACGGTGTGGGTTTATCAGTTGTGAATGCTTTGTCTGAGGTGTGTTTTAATCTTTAGTCATATTATTTCTTTCTCCCTTTTGGAAATTGGGAAATTTCTCTAGGCCCCTCTTTTTGGTTCTTATAAGATTGTTATTTCCCATCCCTTGGCTCCTATAAGATTGTTACATAAGGTTCTTTCGAACATTTTGTGCATATCCTTTGTTTTTGCATAGAAGGGAATCTAACTAGGAACAAATTTTCATGTGGGGAAGAACTGGAAACCTTGATTGTGGAACTGTTTCCAGGAAAAAAGAACAGAAAATACTTCTTGTTCATTATTGGGAAAAGGATTTGTCAGCTAGAGTTGTATTGGGAAAGACTTCAAGTTTGGCTTTGGGAATTAATGGAAATGAATGGTTGCAGGCACTAGATGTTATTGTTTGGAGGGATGGGATGGAATTTAAGCAACATTATTCTCGTGGAAAGCCCACAACAATACTTACATGTAATGTCCTCCCACCAGATTCAAAGAATGCTCAAGGGACACACATCAGGTTTTGGCCGGACAAAGAAGGTTTTGCCCGTTTTTAACTCTTCTTCTCCTTTTTTCCTCTCAGAGATAAGATTTTTTGATTAATTTTCCTACTGGAACAAACTATTTTCCAGTGTTCACAACTGCAATTCAGTTCGACCATAACACTATTGCTGGACGTATTAGGGAACTTGCTTTTCTGAACCCAAAGGTGAGCTGATTACTAAACAAAAGGGAGACCATGATAAATTCTTTTCATATTTTATCATCTTATTTTTTTTATTGTTTCCATTAGCATTCTTTCAATTTGTTCCTTTAAAAAGTTCTCGATTTGCAGAAGCCAATTTTCTGTTATCATTTTGTTATAATCCAGGCTTTGTATTTATGGTTGCAGGTTACGATCACTCTGAAAAAGGAGGATGATGATCATGAAAAGGACCTGTATGCTGAATATTTTTATGCTGGAGGATTAATTGAATATGTTAGTTGGCTAAATACTGATAAGGTGAGGCTTTGCACCTAAGGTCGCTTCTTATATTTCTATTAAGCCTCTGGTTTTTATGTACCTATTAGGCGTATTAAGATTTTTAAGTGTGCTGAATTACTTGAGAGATGGAAAGTTGTGATGCGAACAAATGAAATGTCCTGGTATCAGATGTTTTCCTTCTCAGCCAGCTTTAGAGTTGGCAGTATACATTGAACAATATTTTCCAAGTAGTCCATTTCTGTTGAGGGCTCTATCCTAGCATGCAAACGGAACTTATATCAACTTTCTTTCATGCATGTCTCTGTTACCATTGTCGGTATATTCTATGTCTTTTTATCATCTGTCAGCTTGGAAAGAGTAATTGTCAAATCTTTTGTGCAGAAACCGCTTCATGATGTGCTAGGTTTCAGAAAAGAGATACATGGTACAACCATTGACGTTGCACTCCAATGGTATGTTGCTGTTACTGGCTCCATACCTGTTGGACTATTCAATCCTATTGGAATACAGGAGATAATCAGGCTGTCTTTATAATAAAATGACATAATTGTAGTACTAGGTTTTCTGTTTAATGGTATGTTCTTATCTCTTTACTGGACTCAAAAAACGGGTTATATTATATCTGGAGGTCCTTTTTATGCGGTGTAAGTATCTGCATACAGTATAGTAATTCTAAAGAAGTATTGACTACCCTTGTGTGATTTAATCTCAATTCTCTTGGCTTAATATTGTACCAGGTGCTCAGATGCATATTCAGACACAATGCTGGGATATGCCAATAGTATTCGCACAATTGACGGTGGGACACATATAGACGGTGTAAAGGCTTCATTAACAAGAACCCTTAATAGCCTTGCAAAAAAGTCAAAGGTTGTCAAGGTATGACACCAGTAACCAACTTTGTCTTTTTTTAAGAATTTCTGTCTTACATTGATTTGGAGCATATTTTTCTTATGCTTTTCTCCTTTTTCATGAGAGTCTTGCTGACACTTGTGTAATGATATAGGTCAATAAATAAATTTTTCTCGTCTTCATTGATAAGGACTGAATTTGAACACCCGTAAATCTGCAGCACATGCTGTTGGTTTAGAATGTTCGTAACATTTCTGTGCTATTAAAGACAGTGAATGATGACTTATCCATGATATACAACTAGGAAAACGTGTCAGTTATAGATTCAGCATAAGATTAAGCATTTATCATCACCAACGTCAGGACTCGGGCAGGCATTGTTTCTATAAGATTTTCATTACCGGTTAAGTTGATTGCCATCGATTGTGTTTCCAGGAGAAAGATATTAACCTGAGCGGGGAACATGTCAGAGAGGGACTGACCTGCATTGTCTCGGTCAAAGTTCCTAATCCTGAGTTTGAAGGTCAAACAAAGGTAATTGAAGCCGTAATGATATTTTACTTTTTTTTTTAATAATGATCTCCAGGCAACAGCAGTAAATTTTGATGGCATTCTTTAAATATTTTCTTGCCGCTAATTTTCTGTCTCCTAACCCTCAAGACAAGATTAGGAAATCCAGAGGTGAGAAAAATTGTTGACCAATCCGTTCAAGAGTACCTGACAGAGTATCTGGAGTTGCATCCTGATGTACTTGAGAGCATCATTTCCAAATCCCTGAATGCTTACAAGGTACATTATCGATGAACCAGCCCGTGCTTCTGCATCTTTTCTGCATAGATGCACTCAAACACTGGAGTGAAATGTTTTTTATCCCTTGAAAATGGTAGCACAGTTAAGGACTGGTAATCTATACATACTGATTTCTCAGATATGTAATCATCCTTCATGTAACACTCGGCTGTTTTACCTATTAAGATGTGTCAGTTTCCATGTTTTAACCACATGACCAGTGATGTGACGCTTTCATTTTTAGGCTGCTTTGGCTGCCAAGAGGGCAAGGGAGTTGGTCAGATCAAAAACCGTCCTGAAATCATCTTCCCTTCCAGGGAAATTGGCTGATTGCTCATCGCCAAATCCTGAAGAATCTGGTATGTCTTTGCCTGCACGAGAAAAAAACATTATTAAAGTTTTATAAATTTATACGAGAAAGTGAGGGGTAGAAAAAAGTAAAAAAGTGGTTATGATTTGTGAGCTGTCTGGTTTAGTTCAAGCTATAACATATTTTTCTTCCCAATGTCTCCAGAAATTTTTATAGTTGAAGGAGATTCAGCTGGTGGCAGTGCTAAACAGGGTCGTGACAGGCGGTTCCAGGTAACCTGCTTCTGATTTTGTCGGATTTGGACAAAGATCTGTCTTTTGACATATCCAATAGCTGATACCTCATTGTTAGGGCCAGGACCTCTCATATGAAGGTCTTCTGATCGACAATTACATGTTTTCTGTCGGACTCCCATCTGGTGCTTGGGATTTCCATAGTGTGTGAAGTTTCTCTCCTGTGTTTACGTATATCTGTTACGGCATATTAATGGCTCCTATTGAGTATGCCAATATGTAATCAACTAAGAGACATTGTTTGGCTGGATTCTTCTGGTATGGAGACATTATTTGGGGAAATGTCACAAAAGGGTACTGATGGAACCCATAATATGTAGTTTGCTCTGACAATGGTAGAAGCCATTTTTTGTTTCACTTGTCTTTTGCAAAATTTGCAGACTCATATCGAGGTTTATCTAGTAGCAAACAGAACGGCCCATATGTTATCTTGATCATTTTGGACAAGTTAAAAGCACAAAGAGATTGTAGTCATAGCGAATTGATGCATCCTATGTTTGATCTTTCTAGGCAATTCTTCCTTTAAGAGGTAAAATCTTGAACATTGAAAGAAAGGATGAAGCAGCCATGTACAAGAACGAAGAAATCCAAAATCTAATTCTGGGCCTTGGCCTTGGAGTTAAGGTAACAATACCCTTTCTCCATCATTGTCCTTTTCTTTCTTTTGAGTATGTTGTAAACTTGATCTGTTTGATCATCTTTTCTTCAGGGGGAGGATTTTAAGAAGGAAAATTTACGGTACCATAAAATTATCATCTTAACAGATGCAGATGTTGATGGTGCACATATCCGGACGCTTCTATTGACCTTTTTCTACAGATATCAGGTATATCGGTTCATGATTTTAAAAGAGCAAAATGGACCTTTAGATGCCCAGTGGAGTTAATATGGTCATGGAACTGACATGACAGTTCTTTCTACAGAGATCTTTGTTCGAAGAGGGTTGCATTTACGTCGGTGTTCCACCCCTTTACAAAGTAAGTCTTAGCCCTGCAGCAGTTTTTGATGCTTTAGATCTATGCTTTTAGTTGGATGGGGCCATTTTTTTATGCGGGTTCTCTCTGGAATTGACCAGGTTGAGAGGGGAAAACATGCACACTATTGCTATGATGATGCAGATCTTAGAAAGCTGCTTGCATCCTTCCCTGCTAATGCATCATACAACATTCAAAGGTTCAAAGGTAAAATATATCAAACTGAAGCTTGAGTTTGTTTCTGAAAAATATATCAAAATGATGCAAGGCACAACACGCATATTATGACTTTCTGAAAAAGATGTTAAGAGGAAATCAAACTTTATCTATAAGCTTAACTTGAGCCACCTCTGGTTTCGTGGCAGATTATGGTTGTAGTCCCTGTGAGATTTCTGATGTTCCTGTGATGCTCTATCAGGTTTAGGAGAGATGATGCCTGAACAGCTGTGGGAGACAACCATGGATCCAGACAAAAGGCTACTGAAGCAGCTAGTGGTCGAGGATGCAGCTGAAGCTAATGTTGTCTTCTCCTCTCTAATGGGTTCACGGGTAAGTAGATACTTTGTTTCGTATAAATAAACAAGTTTCCATGAGAAACATTACGAGAGAATTTAATGGTAGGAATAATTCTGTTCATGAGATGTCTGGATAACAAGATGGTTCAAACAAATGAAGCCACAATGCCTTGAATGGATGGATCAACCCGCAACGGATCAAAATGGATGAGCACTCAGCAAAATCTCTGTCTATCTTATTCGGGGAGAGAGGATCTTTTAACGCTCCTTCTGCCCGTGGGTTTTGTCTGTTTCAGGTCGATGCCAGGAAGGAACTCATTCAGAGCTCTGCAACTAGGATCAATCTGGAGCATCTCGATATCTAGCAGAAAGCCACAACCAAGGCCCCGGGCATGAGGGTTCGTTCATCTGTATAATTAGATCCAAAAGGAAGAGACTTTGGGGGGTAGGGGACATTGTGCTATTGGCGAAAGCTTAGATTATGAGTCTTGCGGCCTTTCTGGGAAACAGAACCACCATTCGTCCTTCACTTGGAAAAATTCCTGCCGTTTTGATGTATTCTGTGGCCATTCAGTTTTTTTTTTTTTTTTGGTAAAGCTCTTGTTTTCATGAAAATCAAAAGAGAATTTTGCATTCAACACAGGCATTTCTAGTTCTTGAAAACTCTTTATTAAGAAGATTAAACACATTTTTTTAATTTAATATCAACACAGTTTTTATTTTTTGGTAATATAAAAGTAAATTAACAAACAAGTAGATTGTACTTGCGTAGACACGTGAAAAAGATGATGAATCAGAATCCCACGCTGTTGCAGATTTGATTTGTAAGGCCCTTGAAACCAACCAACCCGGATGTGTTCCTTCGGAAATAAATAAATAAATAATTGAAAGTCATGTTTTTTCCTACAAAGGTTCTTCCTTTTTTCTCTTTTTACCCACAAAAAATATCCATTGGTGAAATTCACAGGACAGAGAGTTCCTCCTCCTCCACGCTTTCAACTTCCTAAGGTTTGTGCTTCTTCTTCTTTATCTCCATGTTCCTCGTTGGCCTGCGCTTTCATGAACTTCACTCGTACTTTTTATCTTCCCTGGATTTTCTAATACGTCTACGCCTTTGCTTCTGCTGTCCAAATTCTGGGTTTTTCTTGTTTCTATCTCAAAATCAAGATTTGGGGTTTTGATAGAATCATGACTGAGAAATTCATAGTGGAGAATGTGCTGAGCGAACTGGTGGAAACCATCTCCGAGAGCGTTCAGAAGAACAACCATGGGTCATTTTTCGGGCAGGAAGAGACAGTCTCTTCTGGTTTCAGCCGGTTGTTTGGTCGTCAGAAGTCGATTCATCATGTCTTAGGGGGTGGAAAATGTAGGTTTGATTTTACATAAACACCTATATATGAGCTCTTATTCTGTGTTGATTTGGTTTCATCTGAATTCTCCTGTAATTTCTTCAGCTGCTGATGTATTGTTGTGGAGGAACAAGAAGATCTCAGCGAGTGTCCTCATGGGAGCAACTGTGATCTGGGTGCTCTTCGAATGGATCAATTTCCACTTTCTGAGCCTCGTATGCTTCGCCCTCTTGCTTGGCATGATTGCTCAGTTTGTGTGGTGCAATGCCTCGGCTTTTCTGAATCGGTAACTAGAAAATGCTTCAGACAATCTTTCCATTCTTTGGTTTCATCTGAATGCCAGACAATGTTAAAGATTGGATCTTCATGTTTGGAACAGATCATCATCATCTAGAGTGCCTAGGCTTGTTCTCCCAGATGAGTTCTTTGCGAATCTTGGCAAGGCTTTTGGGACAGAGATTAACCGTGGTTTGGTCTTCCTTCAAGATATAGCTTGCAGAGGGAATTTGAAGCAATTCCTTGTGGTATGTAACTTTATTTTCTTCCTGGATTCCTTCGAGTAAAAGAAGAAAGAAGAAAACCATGTGTGTTATTATCTAATGTCCCCACATGAATCACATCTCATCAGACACCGGGTTTTTCTTTCCTGTTTGTTGCTAATCAGTAAAGTGGGCGCGTAGCCATTGCAGAACTGAGTCTGTAAACCATGTAGTTTTGTAAAGGGCTAACCTTTAAGCATTTGGTTAGCCCTCCTGCTTCACATTCAGTACTCCTCTCCATTATCTTAAAGAGTATTTGACCCGAAAGAGCAATGGATGTGGGTGCGTTAACGATCAGTACTAATGATCTCAGGCCGTGGCTGGATTGTGGGCAGCGGCAATCATTGGTAGCTGGTGCAATTTCTTGACTGTTTTATACGTCGGTGAGTTCCCTTCTCTCTTGATATGAGATTCTACTTTGATACAATGCTTCCCCTCAACAAGGAGAGATGGCACATGAACACAGATTTATTTCTCAAAAGGACAACAACTGTTGTTTATTCTTTGAAGGGTTTGTGGCGGCTCATGTGTTGCCAGTGATGTACGAGAGATACGAAGACCAAGTGGATGGGTTTGTGTACAGTGTGACCGGGAAAGTTCAGAATCATTACAAGAAACTCGACTCTGGTTTTCTCGGGAGGGGAAAGCTTGTTTCCATGAAACATGACTGACTCACTCAGTGTCTTCTTTCTTCAGAACCCATTTGTGCTTTCACTCTGTATACATGTATGTATACATGTACGTATGCATGTATGCATGCATGCATGTTCATGTGGACTTGTATTGGATAATCGTATTTGAAACCTAATTGCATTGGATATCACTTGTGTTATGATCATACATATATGCAAGTGAACGTGTTCTTGTTGAGGACTTAAAATGTGAAATGCGACCAGTAGATCTCATAAAATGATATAATTCATGATTTTGTATTTGGAAAATTAACTTCAAAATTCATGGAAAGTTACTTTGTTGAATTTCTTATATTGTGAATAATTTAAATTTAAATACGTTGTATTTAAATAGAAATCATCTCAATTTTTTTTATTTTTTTGTTGTTTTATTAATTGCATTTCATCTGGTAGTATCCAACTGTTTAATTCATCAATCCTCTTTTAAGTTTGATATTTACATACATATACATATACATATACATATATATGTATATATATATTTCTTCTTTCATTCATAATAAAATTTGTTTAATACAAATTATCAACGATCAAAACACAAAAAGAACTATGTCGTTGACTAAAGTTTGACCTCCAACCATGATTTAGATTCGAATTTCGAATTATGAACTCGAATCCAAATAGTGGGACCCACTTTCCCTACGTTGTCCACGTGGCAGATTCCTGATCCACTGATATTAATAAATTAATAAAATAAAAAAGGAAAAAGGGGGCATACTTTCACGATCATCAAATCTCAATCTCTTCAAGTGAGGATCCTTTTTTTTTTGGAAACTTTCTCACGAAGATTTCTCTCGTGATTTCTCGGATTCGCGATCAAGGTATCTATTTGTTCGTTCTGATGTTTCGTGTTATTGTTTGATCCATTCAGTCTTTAGCTTAATCCAAGCCCTTCGGGGTTTCTCTGGCTGTTCTTGAATATATGTTTCTGTCTGTTTTTTTTTGCGTGTGATGCCGAGGAATAAGGTAGCCGTAATGAGAATCTATGTTATTTTTGGGTAATTGTTATCGTACGGTGATCGAGGAAGTCATGACTTCCTTTTGGAGGAAGAAATTTGTTATTTTGGTGCCATTTCCCATGAAAATAGCGAGACGGGTATTGGGTTTTTTAGTGCGTTTCTTATGGTTTTATGCCTCATTTTGCCCTAAATTTTGTCGTTTGATGATTTCGTTCCAGTTTTGTTATCATAGAGTGTTATTTGAAAATAGGGTTTTGTAGTTCTTATAGAAATTGTAATCCTCCAAGAAACGTCGAGATATTGATTATTTGATGCTTACGTACATGATTTTCCAAGCCATAAAGCTGTTTGTTTCTCGTCTCAGGCGTGCTTGTTAACTATTTAATCCTTATTGCGCTACTGAAGATCTTTCCTTTTTAGTATGTGAATGCATTAGGGTTGAGTTTTAGTCTCGATATTTTGAGATGGAACTTGTCAGTTTCTGAACAAGTAGGTTGATGTTCTGATAGATCAAAAGATATATTTGGTAATGGATATTATCTGTATTTTTTTCCAAGCCAAATGATTTCTTTCTCTGTCTGCTACACATTCTCATTGGTTATTCAAACCGCTTCTTCGTGATAGGAACAACAATTCTCTTTGCAAGCATTTGATCGACATGTCAAGTGGACCAGTGGGAAGGGTATTACGTCAAGATATACAGTTGGTAAGACATATGAATCAGGGATGCCGAGATTTGTTTCCTCGCCAGATATAATGGAGTTTGTCTTTCCTCAAATGTTTTTCTTCCTGGGATATTCTGTTTCTTTCTTCTGTCTTTGCGGAATAACCTTAACCTGAAGAAAGGCTTACTCTTTTTTCGGCTTGTTACTGTTCCATTGCAGGTTCAAAACCTTATAGAACGATGCCTCCAACTGTACATGAACCAGACAGAAGTTGTGGGCGCTCTACTGGAGCAGGCTAAGATAGAACCTGGTTTTACAGAGCTAGGTAGCCACCGTAGTCCTCTGTTCAGTTTTAAATGCATAGTGTTTAATGATGTAATCATCCACCTTACCTGTCTTCGATTTCGGTTTCTGTTTCCTTTTCTTTTATTGTGATCTATCAACATTGCTACTTGTTTAGTCCTGGGGGAAAAGTATTAAGATTGAGGTCCTGTAAAATAGGTTTTTGTTGTGAAGTATCGCATTGCGGTCTTATCTGTTAAAGAACCCAGTTAGGAGATGCTTACAAGGAATAGATGCAAGATACAGAATTGCGGCTCTATGACATTACCGAATACTAGTCGGTCAGGTTAATGAGAGGATAAGTGCGAGAATGAGAGTAGATGATCTATAGATCACCCTAATAGCAGAATTTATCACAGAGATTTGTGTCTACATGTTTGGATATGTTTGTCATTCTTGGGTTGATTTTTGGTCTACAGTTTGGCAGAAGCTTGAAGAAGAGAATCGGGAATTTTTCAAGGCTTATTATCTTAGGCTCATGGTGAAGCACCAGATAATGGAATTTAACAAGTTTCTTGAGGAACAAGTGGAACTCATGCGTCAGCTTCATCCAACTGGAGTTGCTTCTGTCCAAACTACAAATGGTTCTCATATTCAATCAGGTAACCGTTATTTGGAAGTAGAGGATCTTTAATTTGTCTTTCACTTGATTTTTTGTGTACGCCTTTTGGGGTTTCTTTTTATGAGATCAAGATTATGCCTTTCATAAGGCACTGCAGTCTAGTTGCGTATGATATATTATATATACGGCCTGTAGATTAGTTATCCTGCTTCAGCTTCCAATTCTCGAAACCTCTCCCTGTCCTACAGTCTCATGATTTTGTTCTTTGAGGTAGAAACTGGAGCAGTTATTATGAGATTATAGGCTTTATAACGTATTGCCGTACTATCTGTAGTGAATCAGAAGCAAGTATGCTATGCTCCAGATCACGCTGATCAATCCTTGAAGTCAGAAAATGCACAACATCCAAGGGCATCCTGTCTATCCAACACATTTCTCAACGAAGGAGGCTCATCGATGAATACAAATGTGCCACCTTCACCTTCTGTGGAAATGTCAAACCATGCTAGGAGAAGTGATGCTCCTCCAAACATGCTCTCCTCGCATGTAATGAACATGCCACTTATGCAAGGAATGAATGGAGGAATGATCAAACCCGAGGCTGGTTTTTCGACATGTGGTCAGTACATGTATGGTGGCGATCGGAATACTACCCTTGAAGCACATTCCAGAGTGGGAGATGCTTCCGTTGCACCTTTCAGCAACGAACCCAACACCCAAACCCTAAATGATCCTCTTCTTGATTCAGACACTTCTACTTTCGGGTTTTTAGGCCAAATTCCTCGGAACTTCAGCCTCTCTGATCTGACAGCCGACTTTCCCCAGAGTTCAGGTCCATCTCCATCTCTGATACAAATGCATACATGTGCATAAACATGGATGCAAAACCAAGTTTCCAGTTGTCTAAGAGGTTTATAAATTCTGAGGAACCCCATTCTTACTCAGCGGGAACTTACAATGCAGTGTTTAATGCCATTAATCGCCTTCTAATTTCAGACATTCTGGAGAGCTATGATAGGTCAACCTTCCTTCCGGGAGAATGCCAAGGTAAGCTTCTGAGACATCTATGAAGATAAAGAAACATACGAGTCGAGTACAAAGTCATACCGAGCTAGATCATCTTGAGAAAGTGCTGAAGCTGTCCTGACTTTGTAAATACTCTTGCAGAATCCAACTGGAAGAACTGAAACCCGGGTTTCTGATAGAGAGATTTGGACAGCTGAATGGCTGAGATTATTAGTATCTGTATTTGCAGGGGACAACAAGAGATTGGAGACAATATCTGAAGGCTTCAGTTACGAAAACCTCGGAAGTGACTGAGTTAAGGCAACAGGTAAGAGATGCATATTGGCTCCATTGTCATGGAGCTTGGTCGTGTTTTTTTTTTAAATATTTTTTCTTTGTAGAAAGTCGTCGTCATCATCATCATCATCATCATCTTCAACCTTCACACCGTGACTGTTGTTGCAGGTATTTTTTTTCCTCGACTTAGGAATGGCTTGTGTACAGAGAGGTTCTTAGAATCAACAAGCATAGCTTTTGGAATCTTTCAGTTTTTTTTTGTTCATTTCTTTTGTTAAATATAATATAAACTTAATACCCTATGCAAGGAGATTCTGTGTTTTATTCTTGCTCTATTAGACTTGTTCTGGATCCTTAGATTTCAACGTTATTTACTGTTTGGTAAGTTATTGTAAATTAAAATTTCATTTCTGATATTGTCTCCTCTATGATATTTGATTGGACAGATATTGGGAATTAATTTCATAATCTGGGTTACCCAGGTAAGCTTATTCTTTTACTTCGTTTTTAACAAATAAAGTCCTTTTAATAATTTATTAAATGTTTTAAAATTTATAACATTGTTATTAATTACCAAAGAAAGTAAAAGGAAAAGTGATAGTTTCATATTTTTTTCCCCTTTCCCATAAACAGATAGATAAATAATTGAACATGGAAATCAGGGTATGCAAGATTGGAGAATCTCTTTTTTTTTCATTCTTTCTTTCTAATTTAATTTGAGACTTAGGCTACATTTACCCAATTAGATTAAGACACGTGTCAGAGTGCAGTGGATAATATTTGTACCTTGCCGCAGGGTATCGCAATCCTTCATACATCAACTTCCAGCCAAACACCAGGAACCGAGAAACGCAGGAAAATCAGAGGGAGGGAGAAGGAAAATTCCGGCGATGGCGGATGATTTCTCGGTTGTCGTGTTGGCTTCCGATCTAGGAATCGACGCTCGACCGTTCTTGTCGAAGAGCGATGAGGGTGACGAGCAAGAGAACTGGCACGATTGTCCTCAGTACCTCGGAGACGAAGATTTCTCCGATCTCGATGTTCTTCAGTTCTTCTGCCTCCAGGGCTCCGACAAATCCGGGAACCGGATTTTCCGCATCGTGGGGAAGTATTTTCCTGGTAATTAGATCATTGCCTCTCTCTCCCGACACTTCACCCACTTGTCTTTTCTGGATTTGATTTGTGAAGTCTATCTGAATTGGGTTTGTGTTGGAGAATTGACGACAGAAGCTTTCAGGGCCAAGTTGTTGGCTTTAGCTAGATTGTACTTTGAATACATGTTCCTTATCCTTTGTAGTGAAGACAATCTTCTTATATTTCCCTATATGAAAACGTCGGACATGAGCTTTTTATTTGGATTAGATGACAAACTCGATGTCGTTAGATAGTTTTAGAACCTCTTTCTGTAAGGTTTTGATGCGTTTACTCTTATGGTCTTGTCAATTCTTATGGCTATGGACATGTTAGAGAAAGCACTCAGATGGAGCCCGTCTTTTCTATCTTTCATTTCCTTGTGTCTTCTGGTTAGATCACCATGTTAATAGCTACCTTTTCAGATCGATATCTATGATGTGCTGTGGTTTTCATGTGATTGACCCTTGTTGTTTACAATTCAATGTTTAACACTTTGGCCTATCTCAAGCTGAACCGGAGACTTGGCATCTCGTTGTCTTTCTTACCTCTCCTCCCACTGTCAGTGTTTCGATTCTTTTAATCTCTTAATTGTACTTTTCTCATCTTCTTTCTAAACCACAGCTCGTGTCGTGAGTGGGGAGCGACTGAAGAAGTACATACTCCAGAAGATACACAATGAGTTGCCAGAAGGGCCATTCTGCATAGCTTACATGCATAGCACAGTGCAGAAGGAGGACAACTCCCCGGGCATAACCATCTTGAGGTGGATTTATGAGGACCTTTCATCGGATATCAAAGACAGGCTTCAAGTCGTTTACTTCATCCATCCTGGGCTTCGTTCCAGACTTGTTATTGCCACTCTCGGCCGTTTTCTTCTCACCGGAGGGTTAGTGTTTATATTTTCATTACTAAGTTATAAAGGGGGGAAATGTCTAAAGAAACATCGAATTTGTTTAAGTGTTTTCAAGGAACGGAACAGGGGTTGGCCTAAAGGTTGAAACTTTGTGATCTGTTTGAGTTACCAATCATTTTAAAGCTTTGATTCTTCTGACAACGTTTGGCTAAGCTTGAGGTGTCTTTGAAGTATTAATCACACTGAAAGCTTATCTCTTTTTAATCAAGATCTTGTAGTCCCTTACTAACCAAACATTACATTTTCACATCTCAGCCTGTACTGGAAAATCAAGTATGTGAGCCGGATGCAATATCTCTGGGACGATATAAAGAAGGGTGAGGTGGAAATCCCCGATTTTGTGAAAAGCCACGATGATGTTCTTGAGCATAGACCGCTGACTGACTACGGAATCGAACCGGATCCTTTTCATTTAACTGAAGTGCCTTCCACATCGTCATTCTCGCTCAGTCGGTACGAGAACAGATGGGTCTCGTAAGGGATTTCTTGTCATGTAAAAGTTTCTTGGGGACAGAACATGTCTCTGTTGTTCAAGGTTGTAATGTGAAGACGCTTAGTCTTTGTATAGAGTAAACCTAATTTATCACCTGATCTGTTCTATCTGGTTTGTTTGATTTTGAATGGTTCATGGGATCAAGGGATCCTAATACCAAATAAAGTATTTGTAATTGACAAGCCTTATCCTAAGGAAGTAATTCATGCAATATTAATCCATTTATAATCATGTTAAATTGGTGATAAATTGCATCAGGAAAGCTATTTATGCATCAATAAGTCATTTCTTAGTCATTTCTTGTAGTATATCAGTCTCAAAGTTTCAGCAGTCAAAACCAAATCTCCATTGATCTTAGGGAATGGATCAATTTGATAACAAACAAAATTAGGGTATGAAATTGAAAATTTGGAAAAAATATGGGGGTATATCTGACAATATTTCCCTTTGCTTTAAACCACTAAAACCCATCCCATGTACAGAAAGAAGTCTCTCCTCCACGTTCCCATCACAAGAGCTTCTCCGATTTGAAGTAAACGGAAAAAAATGCTTCGATCCATTCTTCTCCGGAAATCCATTCGCTCCCTCGGAACCCTAAATTCCAATTCCTCCGCCGTCCGACCTCCATTTCCCGTTCTCCGCACTCTCTGCACCGCCGCTCCGCCGCCTCCGCCGTCTTCAACCGACGCTGAGCTCAGGAAATATGCCGGATACGCCGCACTCGTTCTGTTCTGCGGTGCCGCAACTTATTTCTCCTTCCCGTTTCCTGAAGATGCTAAGCACAAGAAGGCCCACATCTTCCGCTACGCTCCATTACCCGAAGATCTTCACACTGTCTCCAACTGGAGCGGCACCCACGAGGTTCAGACCAGGAATTTTCACCAGCCGGAGAATCTCTCGGATCTCGAAACCCTTGTTAAGGATTCTCATGAAAAAAAGGCCAGGATCCGACCAGTTGGATCGGGTTTGTCGCCCAATGGGGTTGGTTTGTCTCGTTCTGGGATGGTGAACTTGGCGCTCATGGACAAGGTGCTTGAGGTGGATAAAGATAAGAAGAGAGTTCGGGTGCAGGCTGGAATTAGGGTTCAGCAAGTCGGTCAGGTTAATGAGAGGATAAGTGCGAGAATGAGAGTAGATGATCTATAGATCACCCTAATAGCAGAATTTATCACAGAGATTTGTGTCTACATGTTTGGATATGTTTGTCATTCTTGGGTTGATTTTTGGTCTACAGTTTGGCAGAAGCTTGAAGAAGAGAATCGGGAATTTTTCAAGGCTTATTATCTTAGGCTCATGGTGAAGCACCAGATAATGGAATTTAACAAGTTTCTTGAGGAACAAGTGGAACTCATGCGTCAGCTTCATCCAACTGGAGTTGCTTCTGTCCAAACTACAAATGGTTCTCATATTCAATCAGGTAACCGTTATTTGGAAGTAGAGGATCTTTAATTTGTCTTTCACTTGATTTTTTGTGTACGCCTTTTGGGGTTTCTTTTTATGGTTCAGCAGCTCGTTGACGCCATTAAAGACTATGGTCTCACTCTCCAGAACTTTGCCTCCATTAGAGAGCAGCAGATTGGTGGCATTGTGCAGGTTTGAATTTTATCTGTTCATCCCTTTGTAAAGTCTTCAACTTTTGTTTCACTTCTTCTCTCCTGTTCGCCAGAATCTAACTTTTGAAAATTTTAAAACTCATACCATTCTTGCGTGAACTTGAATGGTCTGGAAACAGAGAATGTGATTCCCTCCATTTTGATCGTCATTTGGCAGTAAACGTAATTGGAGTGTATGATCGTAGTTAATATGATAAGAGTTCGAAGGAGATAATTCAAATTGACAGTAAATGTTCGGGCTTGAGTTCCTTTCTGTTCGGTATATTGTGAACTGTGATGATGATGTACTTGTGGTTGTTGACTGCATACGACTTCTCCGAATCTTGTTTGATTGGAAACATGGTTGATGGTGAATTGGAAAAAGTTTTGCAATTTGATTGGTTAGTCTCCTTCCGGTGCTTTTGGAATTGAGGTTTAGGTTCTATATTTTTCTGTGGTCAGGTTGGTGCACATGGGACAGGTGCAAGATTGCCTCCCATTGATGAGCAAGTGGTCAGCATGAAACTGGTTACTCCTGCAAAGGGCACAATCGAAATATCAAAGGATAAAAATCCAGAGCTATTTTATCTTGCTCGATGTGGCCTTGGTGGTCTTGGAGTCGTTGCTGAAGTGACTCTTCAATGTGTTGAAAGACAGGAACTTGTGGAGCACACATACGTATCAAACTTACAACAGATCAAGAAAAATCACAAGTTAATGGTTGCTAACTTTCGTTTTCATCGGCTAAAAATTTTGCCTTTACTCATGAAGATGCATGTTCAGTTTCCAATCAAATGACTAAAAGCATCCAGGGAGTACATGGGTTTTGAGTTTATTCATCTTTCTTGTTATCGGCATCACTTACTGGCTCTGTGCATTTCGTGCATTCATGGGAAGGGATTTTCTATGTTGCAGAGCACATTGGTCTAAAAAAAGGGTTTTGCTGGAATTTTTTGTAAATTCTTTTTCTTCCTTTTCTTGGTCTGCAGAAAATTGCTCTCAGAAAACAAGCATGTGAAGTACCTGTACATTCCTTATACTGACACTGTTGTGATTGTAACGTGCAACCCTGTATCAAAATGGAAAGGCCCGCCTAAATACAAGTCAAAGTACAGTACAGATGAGGCCTTACAGCATGTTCGAGACCTCTATGAAGAAAGCCTTTTGAAGTATAGGTGAGATTTTCCTTTACTTTTTATGTCTTAACTTGCTTAACTTATTGTAGAGACGTGAACTGATAAAATGAATATTTCCCCCGAATGTGCCGGATCCATGAATGTAGCAGGAAATCTCCTGAAAGCAATGAGCCAAACATAAATGAGCTTTCATTCACTGAGTTGAGAGACAAACTACTTGCCCTTCATCCCCTCAATACAGATCATGTGATGAAAGTCAATGAAGCTGAAGCAGAGTTTTGGAGTAAGTCAGAAGGCTATAGAGTAGGGTGGAGTGATGAGATTCTGGGCTTTGACTGTGGTGGTCAACAATGGGTATCAGAGACTTGTTTTGCAGCTGGAACCCTTTCCAAACCAAGCATGGAGGACCTTGAATACATAGAAGAGCTTAAGAAACTCATAGAGAAGGAAGCAGTACCGGCACCTGCTCCAATAGAGCAGCGGTGGACAGCTCGGAGTAAGAGCCTCATGAGTCCAGCATTCAGCACTGCAGATGATGACATTTTCTCATGGGTAATACTTATTTTTGCTCTGGTTTTTTTATTTGGCATTCTCAATGCATTGGTGGACGTGGGTGTAGCAAAACATTGGTTTCACTCTGTAGTAAGCTTCTTTATCGATTTCATTAGTTAGAAAACCATTTGATACAATAAAACAACCGAATGAGAGTAGAGGCATAAAAAACAAGTATAAACTTGCCCTTAAATTACTGTTTCACAGACCACAATCTCACTTTTGGTCAATGATCAATCTTGTTTCAGCAGACATAATTGTAACCATGTACACTTCTAAATTGCTAATGTGCTATTTGACATTCCATTTTGTGTTAGGTTGGTATAATCATGTACCTCCCAACAACAGATGCTCGCCAGAGAAAAGACATCACGGATGAATTCTTCCACTACAGGCATTTGACGCAGGCAGAATTGTGGGATCAATACTCTGCTTATGAACATTGGGCAAAAATTGAGGTATGTGTGTTGTCTTCCATGATCTATTAGGTGGATTCTTGAGTTCCATAATTGAGTTACAAATATCACTAGTTTCCACTTAAGTCTGTCGTATTTTTCCTGTTATATGTGAAATCTTGAATGCTATATGTGAAATCTTGAAACTGTAACTGGACTGGCAGAATCCTTCATTTCTATCATCCTTTTAATTTGATATTAAGGTAGAACATTGATCTATTCCACAATGGCCCTCATTTCCATTAACAAATAACCTCTTAGTAGCTATTGAAGTTATTCCTAAACCAAACCTAATTTCATGTGTGAACTGTCATTCTTTATATTTTTAGATCCCGAAGGATAAAGAAGAACTTGAAGCCCTCCAAGCGAGACTCAGAAAACGTTTCCCGGTGGATGCATACAACAAGGCACGAAGAGAGTTGGATCCGAATAGAATCCTTTCCAACAACATGGTGGAAAAGCTCTTCCCTGTCTCCACCACTGTTTGAAACTTTCATCCATAGGTTAATCCCTCTTCTCCTACCTTTTTGAATCTAATATAATTTAATGCATCCGCAATGAGTTCTCATAAGATAGAGACGAGAGAACAAATTTTCTTGTCCATGGAAGTCGGGAAGTGTATAGAGGGAGGGATTGATTACTCTTTTAAATCTCATGCGAATAAATTCCAATTGTTGGGAATATTTTCTGTTCTGAATCCTCATGAGCAGCAGTTACCCAAGTTGGTTGGGCAACGATTTTCTTGGACTCAAACTCTCGGCTCCTAACATCTCAATTCGATTACCTGACTGGTTCGAGCTTCTTTCTTCATGGTTTAGGTTATCGCATGAAAGTGAGTCATCACTTGCTGTATGAATGGGTAGGTGTTTTCCGTGTTTAAAACTGGAACTGGAGGTTGGATGTTTCATTGCCCTAGTGTGATTGCAATCAACTGTGATGAACCACACCACTTCCAGCTTACCAGTTTGAACTGAGGAGTCTTTTGAGTTCAGTTTCGAGTTGTTTTTTTGTTGGTTTAGGTTTGGATACTAAGCTAATCAGTGTCAAGATTAGCAGCACCCTCGAGAGGGAGAGAGAGCTAGATTTTACACAAAACACACAGTATAGGAATTTTTACATTCAGCTAGTAGAAGTAGCTTTTACACAACACACAAATAGTGTAGGAAATTTTACATTCAGGTAGCATAAGTTACTGGAGCCTCACACTCAGGGAGTCATAACTAGGGAGGAGAAAACACTCTTTACATACAGAAAGCTTTACACACTGTAGTTTTCATATCTTAGCAACACATCTCGCAGATCCAGCAGCAGCATAGTGCAAAGAGGCTGCATACGTAGAAAAACAACCAAAAGAAGCACAGTAAGTATTAGATATATATTAGACAAGTTTTTGTTCTTGTAGTTTCCTCGGTCTGCTGCAGTAGCTAGAAGAAGAAGACAAGTTTTTGTTCACTAAGATACGACTCTTTTGAAATGAAATGAATGGTTTGGTTTGATAGAGTACCATCCTTCAATGAAGCCTCTGTCACCTTTCTGCTTTGTTCCGAAAGAAGGTAGCAGCTTCTTCTTCTTCTTCTCTTTGCCAGGTTCAGGGGCTTCTGCAGTTGGATACCCTTTCAAAAACACGACCAAAAGGTAAATCCTTGAGCCTTTTGTTCCTCACCCTTTTGTCTTAGATACACATCTGATTCATCAAAATAGAGATAGAACCCGAAAAATTGTAGGAAAAGCTATGTTAGAAGAAGAAGAAAGACACCTGCGGGAGGTTGAGCCTCTGGGTTCTCTGAGATCTTCTGCATATTTTTTGAAAAACTATGAACAGACAGAACAGAAACTAACACAAACAAGATCCTGTGTTTTATGCCCTCAACTATGTGTTTGGTGCTCTGTCACTTTGCAATTATAAAACACAGAGAGGGAATACGATTCCTTATTAGATGTGATGTGATGAATGAGTTTATGCTGACAAGTGACAAGATGATTTCTTTAGCTCATCTGTTTTTTCCGTTCTTTCAACTTTCGGTTGTTAAATGGCTTCACGAAGGGGTTATTGGTGAAACCCAGACCCGGAGATGAATATTTTAATGTGAAACAAAGACTATATTGCAAGATTCTGTCTTTGACATCATTTTCCTTGGTTGTCGCCCTCCAGAAATGTCCAGAAGCACAATGTATTGCCAGCGATCTTATGATCCAAGGCGGTGGAGAAAAAGAGAAAAAAAAAAAGAGGAAAATTATTATTAGTATGTGATAATATCAAAAAACCAAATTTAAAATATAAAAAATTAAGCACAAGAAAAATACAAATATTAAAATATATAATATAAATATTAAGATGCGTGTGTATCTCTTAACAAAACAAAAACTGTGTGCTCAGAGTTTGGGAGAATATCAAAAAAGAAAGAAAAGGCGGACAGGAGAATAATTCATAAACTCATCAGTTGAAGCTGTCCAGTACCAGAAAAAGAACCAAACACGTCATCAATGGCTTCTTTGGTTTCCTGTCTGAAACATCAAAGATGATGTCTTACCATCTTCGTTTGAAAGCTCACTTCATTCCTGTTTATGTTACCAAGCAGAGAACTAACATTCAGCTTTAACGGTGGTCTTCTTCTTCAACTTCAACTCCTCAAGCGTTTGTTTCCTTTGCTGCGAATTGTGAGTCATGGAGTATATCACATGATGTGTTCCATAGTTCCTCCGCAAGTTTCGGGTCACGGGAAATCACCGACGAGTCGATGGTCCTACCGTTTCCCCCGAAGAAGTATCGGCCTGACGTTCCCTGCAGGTCGTCCATGAACAAAGTCAGCCTCATAATGTTTCAGGAAGGATGCTTCCTATGTCTGGCTTTGATGGAATGTGGATTTCGTTTCAGCCAACAGCATAGACATGGGAAGTGTTACGAACACAGGCGGCTCAACACAAAAGAGATTCCAAAAAACATAGCCTAGAGATGGTGTTTCAACCAAAAGAATCATAAGCTCGTCGAAAAGTTGCACGATGAGCAGGATGCTTCTAGTGATCGTGACTGAGTCATGTGACTCACTGGATATCACGAGGGGATAAAGATCAAAAAAAGATGGCAACTTCAAGAGATAAAGATCGAAAAATTTGAGAGAGCAAATCTTACTGGTGGTGCTAAAGCGGCATCTATGATAGATTTAACTCCATCCTCGGGGGACTGCAGCATACGGACGAGCTTCAGAATGCAGAACGCCATTAGAGCGAGGTGCCGAGGAACTTCACGCATTATGTTTGTTTTTACTGATCCAGGATCCGCTGCACTGATAACAACAGGGGGGAAAAAAACCCGAAACCCAGTTGTCAATAGCAAGGCCAAGTAGCTTTGGCTGGAAGAGGATGGAATTACGATGGGTAAATACACAAGGAATCCAACGATAAAGGATCAATTTTTAAGTCTCGGACTGCATACACAACAGAGATATGAAGTGAATCGTCTGTAAGGCGGAGCTGTCTGTGCAACTCGCACGTGAACAGAAGCAGGCACACTACAGGGGAAAAAAAGGAAGCAACTTTCAGATTCTTGATAGGGAAGAATTGTTTGTATATATAGGAGGGGAGGTGGGTTACATTTAGAATACTCATAGATCTGAGCACACGGGTACTGCTTTGATCTCAAAAAGGATACTCCAGTTACGGTCTCCTTGTCAAACCTCTTCGCAAAAGCTGCAGCGGAATAGACCAGAAGAGGATATCAGGAATCATTCTCTCATTGTAGGTGAACTTGTGTAAGAAAAGAAGCAGTTAGAGAGATGGTGACAGTATATTTTACCATATCGATGGGTAAAAGACGTGACATTCACAACCCGCGCAGGAACAGGGCTTGTTTTGAGAAGAGGTAAAAGAAGTTTGGTGAAAAAGAATGCACCAATATAGTTCGTGGCAATCATCCTGCCAAGAACGGAGACACATTTGATCCATCTACCCCTTGATAATCAAAGTTTCACTCGCGTACATAATCGAGAAATCGCCGTTTTTCCTTTGCTGGAGCAAAACTGTTAGCACATGTGCATGATCGGACATTAAGAAAGTTCCATCAAAGACAAGCGGGTAGAAGAACCTTACTCGTCATAGCCTTCAGTGGTGAGCCGACTGGACATTGCAAGTATCCCGGCATTGTTCACCAAAAGTTGGATAGATGGATGCATGTTCGAGTCAGAAAGCCATTGTTGCAGCGAGTTTCTAAACTTCAAAATCGATGGAAAAGATGACATATCGACTTCGAAAGCTTTAAGATGGGCATCCTTGTTCTGGTTCTTAATCTCGCTCAAGGTCTGTCAGAAGAAGTGGTAACCACAAAAAAAGTTTCAGCCTTCAAAGAAAGTATGAAGAGAACGTGTTCATATCGATACTAGTAAAATCAACAGGATCCTAAAACCTGTGATGCTGAGTGAGAAGACCGCCCAACTGCAAAATCAAGAAAGATTCAGCTGCTTGACCGCTGTGAGTTACCCAAGACAATTCTTGAAGCACTGCTACTATGAAATGAAACCCCATCTCATCATCTTACGCATATATATATACGAAGAGAAACACACAAACTTACCAAGAACAACGTAGAAACCTTCTCTTGAAAGAGCAAAAGCAGCAGCCTTTCCAATGCCAGAGGTAGCCTGAATGAAACCAAAGAAACCGCCGGAGTTTAAAGTGTAAAAGAAAGTGAAGGACCTCTGGTAATGAATGATGATTCATATGAAAATACTGCATTGGCTTACACCAGTGATAACACAAATGGGTCTAAGAGAACCAGTCGATGAACGAATGCGGCAAGAAGGTGAACCAGTTCTTGGACTAAAGACCCTTCTTTTAAGCAATTGCAAGTAAGAGAGAATAAGGGCAATGGTCCAAAACAGAGCCATTCTCCAGAATTCAAGTGAGCAGACGAAATGCAAAGCCGCCTTCATCAGCTGCAGAATCTGAGAGCTGAAATAGAATCAATCTCGTTCTCTCTAAAAAAAAAAGGGTTCCTTTTACACGCTGATTCGACGGAGTAGCTTCGTAAACTGTTTTACGAAACATAATCACGTCAGTATTCGATCGTGGCTTCTCGAGGATTCCAAATACACAAAACGTTTGGCAAAACTGGGACAAAACAGATCAAAACCCCATTTTTTTCCTCCGTTCGAATAAAATTGACCACAAATTCTCGATTTTTCCACCGGAGATGGAGAGTGACGATGGAGAAGAAGAAAAGAAGATAAAAGGAGCTTTACCGGTGGTACGAACAGCGGCGAGGAAGGAGAAGCGAAGAGACGCAGAGAGAGAGAGAGAGACTAGAGGCGTCGGAGTATGGAGGAAAAAGACAACGGGCTGTCTTGTAATTATATGAAACCCAAGGGACAAATTTCAACTTTTGTAGAATTTCTTCAAATTCTAAAATTGGAATCGAGCCCCGAAACTTTAGTTATGTCCAAGATTTCCCTTTTTATCCATTTTGATACACAAATAAATGAATTATCCATTTTGATTACACAAATAAATTACAGATTTCCCTTTTTATCCATTTCAGAATTATCGGAATTTCTGAAATTCGGGGCATGTACTATTATTAACTATTAGGTGTGTCAAAGCTTCTTTTTTTTTGTAATTGATAGTTGGAGAATAAAATTTCAAATATCAAATTATGTATAAAAAAAGGTCTTCCATAAGTATGGTCGTATAATCTATATTTGATATTTAAAATTTATTTCAAATTAAAATCAATGGCGTCTTAATCAAACTCATCGTCAGTATGAAAAATAATTTTAAAAATCGAAATAAAGTAAAATTTTCAACAAAAAAACACAACAATTGGAATTAAAATGAATCAGAAATAATACAAAAAAATAAATTCAACATGATGAAATAAACTTCCTTAATGATAACTTTTTTTTTTGAAGGAAATCTCATAATCCAAAAGGTTAAAGGCAAGAATCTCGTATTTATTTTTTTTTTTTAAAAAAGCAAGCAAATTTATTTTTGGAAACCGTGAATTGAATAGGATGCCGAAAATATTAAGATGCCAAAGCACATGAACGAAGTCAACACAAACATTAACCCTACCTTCCATGATAATAACATCCATTACACCTATAAATACACAAACCCACAAAAAACACATAATAATAAATTTATGAGAGAGAGAGAGAGGGAAAATGAAGAGAGCAGCAGCAGCAATTTTCATCGTCGTCTTCGTCCTGGCATCATGCAAGTCTCTCCATCATTATATACATATATATATCCATGTTCAATTTGAATATATATATATATATAACCAGTTGTTATAATTATGAATAATATATATGTATGCGGCAGGTATGGTCGAGGGAGGGGTGCATCAGTGTGGCGTGGACGCGGACTGTGACGTGAGAACATGCCGGCTCGGGGCCCATGCCATTTGCGGCAAGGATGGTCGGTGCACCTGCTCTCGTTCTGCTTCCTCCGCTTCTTCTCCTCGTCCCCTTCTCGACGATTCTCCCTTCTAGTCTCCTTTTTCTGCATTTATGCATACATACATATGTATATATATATATATATATGCGTGTGTGTTTCTGTGGGGATGAACAGTCATGTGAAGTCATCGGATCAATGATCTCAATAAAAATAAATTTTCGAGCGTTATTTCTCGTTAAGAAACTTGGTAATTGTTATTTTTGTCGGATCATTACAGTGATTATATATTAGAGAATGATATTAATTATAAAACCAGTTTCCTTAATGTTTTAACTTTTTTAACGAGGAAATGGAAAGAAATCTTATTATAAACAGCAAAGTGTAAAGGAAGGTCAATGGCAGAATCTCGTGTTCATAAGAAAACGAGTGAATTTTCATTTTTTGCAAACCATGAATTGAAAAAATGCACAAATCCAATGCACTTATAAATGCCATATATATATATAATTATATATCATTGATTTTCCCTATGAGCAAACTAAGATATTCCCAATAATTAATTAATTATTACCGCCATTTTCGTCGCCATCCTGGTGGTCGCATCATGCAAGTCAAAACATTCGTAATATTTTTTCCACGTTTTCAATATATATTTGTATATATATATATATATATATATAATATTGGGGAGTATATATACATGTGTGTGTATGTATAGGTATGGTGGGAGAGAGGGAAGGGAGATGGGAAGGGTGCGAGGTGGCGAGCGAGTGTGAGGACGTGGATGGATGCAGGGCGGAGATGCATCCCATTTGTCAGAATGGTCGCTGCACTTGTGTCCGTACTTATCCTCCTCCCCAACCCAATGACCCTCCCCTAAATCTTCTTCCATACTATATACACACAAACACACACATATATATATATATATATATATATATATATATATGAGGAAAAATAG